TTATTCCCCTGACTTCACCCACTCTGTGGTTCAGCTAGCACTAGTGGCATCAACTGGGTCTCTGTTATCTATCTCCCTGACTAGGGTGATTTAAACTACTCACTCTCTTGTTGGGGAGGAAAGATGTAAACCATTTGCTCCTAAGTGTCCTTGGTTAGAGACCATAAGGCTTTGCGATTTATTGACTGGCTGTTAATTTCTCAATAGTTTGTTTAGCTGTCTCAATTTCCCCATTCCACTTGCCACGGAATTTCCTAGATTCTTACTAGCCTGCCTCAAAAATACTGAACTCAGAGCTTTTGGTTGTTCTCTAACTATGGCATCATGAAGAGTGTTACTTTTCCAGTGACCATGTATACAGAGCATTGGCAACCACAAAAGCTCACCTGGGCCTTGGTCTCCAGAGTCTCTATTGGAGAGCTAGGCAAACCTTGTTAACTGTCCACATGGCTGACATCAGTCTCCCCACCCTGAATCATCACATTGTTGGTGTGACTCAAAATCCCCACCCTAAATCATATTGTTACTATCTGGCTATACCAATATCTTATTAATTTGAATTACAATGACTTTAGGGTATATTTTGATATTTGGTGAGGCAAATTTCACTTTATTGTTCTTTCATGCGACTTTCATAACTACTCTCATATAAGACTTTCATAACTACTGTGCTTTATAAAAGTTGAATTTTATATTAGCTCAGTTGCATTCAGTTACAAGCACCACATTGTTTACCCTCCAAGAGTTGAGTTTAATTGCTGTATAAAAATCTTCTCAAAGATTACATTATGTTTTGGCACTGAAATGAAAAAGTTATTGTGAATGCATAAATTCATGGAAATAGCAGTGGAATACAAATTTTATATCAGTAAATTTTGTCATTAGAAGAATAATTTCTTTTTCCTATTTTCTTACAAAGCTAGAACATAGCTTTATAGAAGACAGAAAGCAATGCCCCACCCTCCACTCCACCCCCCTCACACACACACAAATGAAGCCTATTATATGTTGCTTCTAAGATGCATTCAAAAGTATTGCAATGCAATGGAAAAATTCACCAAATCTCTTGAAATAAATAAAAGAAATTCCAAAGCAATGAGAAGTTGGTGTCATATATTCATGTGTTTTGAAGGACTATCATCAAGATGTCAAACATCTATTTATCAAAACTTCCTGCTGACGTTGAGCAGAAGACAATAATGGAGCACTCTTTAAGAAATGCTGCATTACCAGTGTTCTTAATAACCAAATAATATTATTATGCGACAAATCCAGACATCAGTGACTCTGAGTCCAAAAAGACAGAGAAGAGTTGGACTTTGTATGTGAAGATGCTTTAGGAACACCTTAATGTGTTTATTTTACTTTTATTTTTTCTTTTATGTGTGTACACAATAATGTATGAGATGAGAACTATCCCTGACTACTTAGGTCAATCAGAATGCAGCAGTACCTTGGCCACAGTGATTGGCCAAGCACAGTGAGGCTCTGGGTTTTGTACGGTCAGTGGTTTAACTGCCCCTGTCCCCATTGTGGATCTTGGAAGACACACTATGACCAAGAGAAACCAGCTTTAACATGAAGCCAACAGATAGACTGCAGAACACAGTAGCTATCTATGTTGATGACATTATTGAACTGCAGAATCATCTCAAAGCAGTTTGAGTTGGAATTTCTGTTTCTTGTAAACCAAGGCTACCTAACTGAATGAAGTCTCAAGAAATGTTAATGAATAGAGCAAATGATAATGAGTGAGGACTCTCAAGGAAACTCTGTGTTTCCAACCTGGGGCTGGAATGACCACACCATCTAGCCCCCAGTCAGTCGTTGATTCACCTGATGAACCGTTGGTGGTTGTTTATTGAGGGCTCCAGACATAAGACCCTAAAGGGTTTGTGGTGGGGCATATTCAGGAAGCAGAGCACCTCTATGTACTTTCATACTTTTTAAAAATAAGAACAAGTGGAATTCAGGGATATCACCAAGTAGGAAGATATTTGGAGCTGACCTGTGCATGTCTATGAGGGAGGACCCCCACCTGAAAAAAAAACAAACCAGAATTATCTTCTGGAGGATGGGCCCCTTGTATTACGGGCTTCCCCTGCTAGGTGAATATTCTAGGTACCCATCTGTATCAGTACCAGCTGGCGTTGTTGTGAGAAGCTGCGTTCTGCTTCAGTGAATTTTTTTTAAGACTCTTTCAGCACATTTCCCATTTCATGATGGGTTATTTACAAGCGAACTTGTCCACACTGCACCGAGTGTCCAGTTTTTGACCAAAAATGGCATGACTTCCATGCCCCACCCTCCCTCACCCGATCTCACTGTGAGTGACTTGTTGGTTTTTTTTTTTTGTTTCCCTGGATGGGAAAATCTCCTCAACGGGAAATGTTTTGCCAATGTGGAAGAGATGAAATAAAAAACAGCAGAGGCACTAAAAGGCATCAAAATCAAGAAGTTCAAAAACTGTTTTGAGCAGCAGAAAAAAAGTCTCAGTAGGTGTATTACATCAAATGGAGAGTACTTTGAAGATGACTGGAGTTTAAACATATAAGAATAAATACACAATTTTTTATAAATAAAGTCCAGGTTTTTGGCATGGTTCATACACATTATTCGATTTTAATATGACTTTCACTCTGCCACAGAATGGGAATCTAGGCTTGAGACAGTGAAATCAAGCACTATTTCTACTTTTATTTTCACTTTCATACTAACTGCTTCCTGAACTGTTCCGACTGAGCCCAGACAGAAAGAAGGACCATTTGTTTAAAAAATTGTGTTATGCTACTAGCAGAGATCACTGCTGAATGAGTAGATGAAGCCAGCTGAATCTAGAGGTGGCTGTGATGCTGAAAGAATCCCAAGTCCTTATCTACATCTGCCTCTTGCTAGCAATGTTTTATGCCTGCTCTATGAGGTTTGTGAAGGACAGAAAAATTTCCCAGCCCCTGTCAAAAAAGTAACATGTCTAAGTTACCTAAATTGGCACAAAGCTCCCAGTAAAACTTAATTCCTACCCCTTAAATTCAAAATCTAGGTTATTCTATGGTCTTTACAACACCAGAAGTACTTTTATCTTTAAAACTTGGCAGATCATTTTTTGGTTTTTGTTTTTGTTTTTAATTCTTGAGTTTTTTTAAGTAAGTTTTCCTGTGACTACTTGCCCATAACTTATTCTTCTGGTCTGATGACTGCTTTTTAATGAGCTTGACCTGTGCCTTCTGGGACAAGCTGGGAGTGTGTTCATTGAAGTCCAGAGCTTTGGAATATTACAGAGGTGAAAATACAATCATGGCTTTTTGAATTTTGTAATCATATCACAGCTGAAATCTCAGGAATCCTTCTACCCCAGGATTTTGCTACCCCTGACCTCTGAATTGTTCTGTCATTGACGTCAGTCTCTGGGGATCCATACCCAAAGGAAATAACTTCCTGTTTTTTTTCTAACTGACCATTCTTCCCTGCAACCTTCTTCACTGTTTACCAAACATTCTATTTCAGGATAGAATGAGGCTTCTCCCCTTCCCTTTCACATGGTAAGGAGGAATGACGCAGGAATGAGAAAGGTCCTCTAAGTCAGAGGTCCTCAACCCTCCAAGCCACGGACTGGTACCCTGTTAGGAACTGGGTGGCACAGCAGGTGAGCAGTGCGCCTCAGAGAGCGAAGCTTCGCTGGCATTGCTTGCTGCCTGAACTCTGCCTCCTGTCCGTGGCCGCCCCCACCCCGCCCCCCGCTGCCCCACACACACCAGTCCTTGGTGCCAAAAATTTGGGGACCATTGCTCTAAGTCTGAAGGATAAATTACCTTCTTATGACTATGCCCATATTGTATCAAATTATCAATATACCAAACACCTGTGGGTCTTCAGCTAAAATACCTGGTCCTGTAAGAAGCCTGCATGATCACTCAAGCTTATCCCTCTCACTCCTAATCTAGAAACCACCTCTGATTCACCACACTTCCCAAGTACACCACACTTCGCAAGTACATCTCAGTACTGGCCTTTGGCCAGGCTCTGGCGTCCCAAAGGTGAAGCAAAGGATCTCACAGTCTGGTTAGGGAGACCTCTTGAATAGACTCTACAGGTTCATTAGTTTACAAGGAACGTGGAGTCCGAGTCAGTTCAGGGAAGTAAATCAGGGAAGCATTTGGACTTGTACACTGGTAGGCGGTTGCCAGGTAAAGTGGGAGAAAAGCATTGCAGACAGATGGCCACCTCTGCCCAGTGGAGGTGTCAGCCCTGCTCTGCTACCTCATTGCACACTGCCCTGTGACTAATCAAACTGTTGTCCCAGTGATATTTTAAGTGTTGTATTGTGAATCAGTTCTACCTATTTCTGAAAAGGTGTTCTCTCAATCACTTATTTTTGTGAAATAGTGTGAACATAATATATGAGTAAATGAATGAATGAATGGATGAACGAGTGGGGGCCAAACTAGACCACATTACTCAAAATCTGAGAGGAATGGGCAACATCCCAGGAGCCAGTGCTCCAGGCCGCCCCTCACACCGCCTGCCCATTGACCAGCATTTGGGGATGAAAGGGAATGTGGGATGGGGTCAGAGGCTGGCAATTCTGAAGCCATTCCTAAAGACTGAACGCACTGGATCAATGCTAAGGATTCCCCCTACAGATGACTACTCCCCACCCGCCCCGCCCCCCAAAAAAGCAGTCAAAAAAACTGCTCTGACTAAAAGGTGACCGCCCTCAGCTGCAGGACAGGTGTGTCCAGATCCAATTAAGGGTCATTTTGCTTCGAAAAGGGCCTCTCAGTTAAGAAACGTAAGTCTAGGGTCGCCACTCGCGAAGGACTAAACGAAGCTAGAGCTGTGAGAACGAGGCACCGCACGCGAACTACGCTTCTGGCCCCGGAGAGGCCTTACCGCCCTCTGCACCGCCAGCAGCAGCGGGGAAAAAGCGAAATGGGCAAGGAGCCAGAGCTCCTCCCAACGGGCGGGGGAGCGGAGACAGGTCACGTGGGAGCGACGGGACTCCAGCGCAGGCGCGAACCTGCGCAGGCGCTGGGACCACCCCTGTACCCATGGGGCTGGAGGGAATTTGGTGCTTCAGTCCCCAGCGGCGGGCTCGAGAGAAAGCAGGCGGGAGGGAAGCACAAGCGGGAAGTGTTGCACGCAGGGCTCAGCGAGGCACGTGACCTCCGCATAGGTGGGCTCCGCCTCCGCGCAGGTGAGGAAACCGAGGCAGAGCAGGGTCGGCGGTTCGCGGATTGATTTGCAGCGGGTTTATTTTTTTTCGCTGTCGGGCTGGTCCACAGCCAAGGGGAGGCTCCTTCCAAACCCGCAGGGCGCGGCCGCACCTGCCTGGAACCGACGTGACCCCAACCTCATTCAGAGGACGACGTCCTCTCTTGGCTCCGCGACGCTGGTCCGCTCGTCCCAGCGCGCTGCGGTCAGTGGAAAAACCCTGTGTGTAGGTCAGAGACCCGGGGCTGGGACCGGCGCCTTTGAACCCCCGTCTACCCCACCAAGAGGCTTTGAGCGAGGCTGATGGCACTGACCTGCCTGAATTTCTGAGACAAAGAGCTGAGAAAAGGGCTTTGCCTTGGCGCGTCGGTCCCGCGGGGGCACAGCCCGGGCTGGGCCTGAGGGAGTGTTAGGGGTTGGCGGGTGGAACGAGTTGGAGGTGAGCTAGTATAGCCTGAGGGACTTGACGATCTGTCTCTGTACTTGCGTAGAGTCATTTATTTTATGGGACCACGGTATCTAGCTTTTTGAGAATCTTACAGGCACCTGTTTGCCTCCTGTCCCCAAAGAATTATAAACTCCTGACACAGTTGGAAAGAGCCCAGGTATACAAACATTTAAAAACACTGGGCTGAAGTCTGGGAATGAAAAGCCGAACAAGGCACCAATCGTGGAGGTTCTTGCAGGGACTGGGAGGTGAAGGAGATGGAAAGGATGGTTAAGGCCCAGCCTGAAGGGGACTGTGGGGATGCACACCTGGTGCGTCCAAAAGCCGTACTGGGTCGGGCCCAGCTGACTCAGCCTCTTTTCCTTACCACACCATGCTCTTTCCACAGCCCAATTACTTAGACCTCAGTTTAGTTACTGTTTTTTGTTTTTGTTCTTTTAATTTTAATGTCATTTCTTTTGATCTTGGCAGATGGATTGAAAAAATGAATAATTACTTAGGATTTATTTTGAAAAGCGTTGTGTGAGTGCCAGCTTGTATAGTCTTGAATACTCCTGCTCTGGCACAGCCTCGTGAACCCTGACTCCTTGGAACTTACCGGGTCATCAGAAACCCTTTATTTTGTGTACAAACATTTTAAGGGCAATTGTTGACTAATCTAGAAAGTAGTAAGGATAATACCTCACATTGATACCACTCTTTATAAGGTAGCTTGCAAAGCAGCATATATGCATTTAATCCTTTGATTCTCTTTGGAGGGTGAGGGGGGGGGGTTCTCTGTAGCTTCAGGATCACTGGTCAGGGGAAAGGACCTCTCCTAGTCCTCGCAATCCTCCTTCACCCATGCAGTGTCTCAGAGTTTCCCAGTAGCTTATTATGTCCTTTTATTCTGATTTCGGCATCTGTTGAGAAAGTTCTGAATCTGGTCTCTGAGAGGCAGGCTGGGCCAGAACTAGGCAGCTCATAGCAAATGGCTACTTCTATGATACTTAATGACAAGGGTGGGTGGAAGCAAATTCCCTAATGCTCTTGGGGCCCTGGGTGTCTGTGTCACCAGGCTGCTTAACTGGCTTTTTCAAGCCTGTGTTCTTATCTTTCAGAATTGACAGGACCTTGTTACTGTGGGTCAGAGACGCATAATGGCTTCTCAGCTGAGAATAGAGAAAGTGACCCTTACGAAAACATTTGGCTTTGGATTATGCAAAGAATTGGGCTTGGAAAAGGCGAGTGTTTTCTAGCCACCTGATTCCCAGGCTGTGTCCAGGAGCAGTTTTGCTTTCAGCCTTCTTCAAGCCAGTGAGTGGACTTCAGAACCTGCAGACCTGCTCACCTTCCTGAGCCCTGATCCTCCACACTGTTCTAGCCTCTGCAGGAGTGTCCAGTGCAGGATAAAGAATCATAGACTAGGAGTTGGGAGTTCCAGCACAGTCACTGACCACCCCTGCCCCATGTAACCTTGGACAAGGTAGCCCCTTCTCTGTGCCTTAGTTTCCTTATCTACTCAGTTGAACAAGAGGCTGAACGAGAGTTCTGAGGGGAGGAGTGGGGAACAGAGGAGAGCAAAGAAGGGAGATGAGGCATCCTTTCGAGGCTTGTTCACTAAGGGCTTGAGGCAAGGAGGCCCATGTCCACCCTTAGTTATCTTTGTGTCCCTCAGCACCCCTTTCTTCCCTCTTCCCTGGCTCTGCCTCAAACCAGCTCATTCAGAGGAGGGAGGATACCCTGGGTGGGGCTGAACTGGGAAGGTGTACCCTTAATGTTTAAACTATGATGCTGTCTCTACTTGTATCAGGCATGAATTAATCCACCCAGTGATGGTACATTGTTTTTTGTTGTTGTTGTTCTGTTTCCTTTACATTATATTTTATTATGCTACTACAGATATTCTGATTGTTTTTCCCCTTTGGCCCCCCTCTACCCAGCTCCCTCTACTCCCTAAGGCAATCCCCCCACCATTGTTCATGTCCATGAGTCATATGTATAAGTTCTTTGGCTACTACGTTTCCTATACATCCCCATGGCGATTCTTAACTACCTATTTGTACTTCTTAATCCCCTTACCTCTTCACCCATTCTCCCCCTACCCCCTCCCATCTGGCAACCTTCCAGTAACTAACTTCTTTTCTAAGAGTCTCTCCTTATCTTTAACCTTCAGCCTTTTAATAATGACGTGGCTTGAAGTGGGCCTCCTTGTACCCATCATAACTGGGACTCCCTGCGCTTCTGTACTTGCATGTCTATTTCCTTCACCAAATTAGGGAAGTTTTCTTTCACAATTTTTTCAGGTAGATTTCCAATTTCTCGCTCTTTCTTTTCTCTTCCTAGCATCGCTATGAGGCGAATGTTGGACCTCTTAGAGTTGTCCCAGAGGCTGTTTATACTATTATGAATCTCATTTCTTTGAACTGTAAAGCCATCTGAGATGGCTGCTACTTGTGCTGGCCTTGGAGGTTCCCAGGTGAAGCCAAGCTGTGACTCTACCCTGGCTGCCACTAGGGCTCACGGAAGCCAGCTGGCTTGTTTGATAGGATTCGGGAGCCAAAGACCAGCCATTCTTATGGAAGAGCAGCGTGGGTGGGCCCTTAATTTGGGTGGGGTAGAGCCTCCAAGGTGTGTCACACAGTGTTAGCCAGGTTGCTGGAATCTCAGATATGGCACCAGCCTACCAGCTCTGTTGGGGGAGGGCTTGGTTCAGCAAAGGGACAATGGCCTCTGCTTGCTCCAGTGCCAGACACTTCAGTCTCTCCCTGTATACCACTGGTGTCCTTCAAGCTGCCACCCCAGTGCTGGAGCTCAGAGGGGGCGAGCCTGAGCAGCTGAGACCATGTGTGGGTTCCCAAAGTGGAGCTGCTTAGGGCTCCACCAGCCTCCTCCATGGTCTCAATCCCTGCTGATTTTTGTAGCCAGAAGTTGTGGGAACTTATCCTCCTGGCATTGGAATCCTGGGCTTGGGGCCTGGTGTGGGTCTGAGACCTCTGTCTCCCAAGATATCCATCCCTCCCGAATTTTTATTCACACAGGTGTTGATCCAGCCCGCTGCATGGTGCTCACAGCCCTCCTACCAGCCTGGATGGATGTGGTTTCTTCAAATCCATAGTTGCCAGACTTTCATTCAACTCAATTTCTGATTTTCCTGAGTGATAGTTGTTCTATAGTTTCGTTGTAATTTTGATGTGATTGTACAAAGAGGGGAGCCATATCTGCTTACATCTCCATGTTGACTGGAATCCCCTACAATTATATTTTTCGGTACTTTGATTAGGACTCTGTCAGTTCCTATGCAGAGACAGTTCCTTGAACTGGCAGGAATTAGGCCTGGGGAAGCAGGAAGTGAAAACGCACACCCATCTGGAGAGTAGTAGTAGCAAGTGTTCCCGTAGTTTTCTGGACGTCAGATTCCTGGAGTTGCAATCATGCGGTACTTTAGTGACTTTGGATGTCATAGCTGACCTCATCATCTGTATACACAGAGGGAGGAGAAAACCTCATTGGTTTTCTAGTTCCTCCCTCTGTGTATACAGATGAGAGACCCAGGCCCAGAGTGCCTTCATAACCTCTGTTGGATTGCCCTGCCAGTAAGCAATAGAGCTAGAACCCAACCTAAGGTTACCTAAGCTACAGTCCTGAGTATTTTATTTAAGTTCATTGCCAACACTGAAATTGGGTTGCTACAAATTAGTTCCAACTCCATCTCACTGTGGAATTTAAAGAGTAAAATTCAAATCATGTCATTAGACATTTAATGCCTGCTAGTTATCAGGATTTGTGGTAAGCTCTGGAGATGCAGAAATGAATAAGACAGTGGCCCTTGTCCTCATATCACTCCACCGTCTTATGTAAACAGACATGTAAAGAACTCAACTACACTAAGTCCTTTTGTTTATGCAATGTGCAAAAGTATGTGTATTTGCGTATGCATACATGCTATTAAATCAGAGGTGAGGGAGCAGTCATTTGTTGGAACTTTCCAGAAAGGCTTTGGAGAGAAAGTGTGACGTGCTGTTGGCCTTTACCTAGTTGGCATGGATTAGAAGCATGTTCTGGGTAAAGGAGGCAACCGGAGCAACAGTGTTGAGGAACCTAACAAAACCTGTTCTTGTCCTTGAGCAATGAGTGGTCTCGTGAGGCCGTGGAAGCGGCAGGAATGAAGCTGAATGGTGGGCTGAAGTTAAGCTGTGAAAGGCTCCACCGACACACTGAGGAGTTCATTGTGGAAATCCAAAAGTAAGGGAAAGGGGTGGTCAGGTCGGAGTGTTACAGGCACTCTGGCTACAGCGTGGAGAACTAATTGTAGAAGATCTGACTAGAACCAACCCAAGCTCAGCTGTGTGTTACAAGCCAGGTACAAAGTACCTACGGGCCTGGGCATGGACAGCAGCAGTGAGGTTAAGAAGAGGATGAGTGGCAAACACATTTTCCTGACTGGATGTGGGCTACAAGAAAGAAAGAAGTTAAGTGTGACTCTCTGTTTCTGGCTTGAGCAGTTAGCTAAATGTTGTGTCATTCACTGAGCTAGAGAACTCCAGAGGAGAAACTAACTTTAGTGGAGGTCACTTATGGACATAATGCAACAGAGATAATGTGCAGAACGCCCAAGTGGAAACTGAGTCAGGAAGAGCAATAGAACCTGGAAGTCAATTCCAAAGTGGTGAGTGAAGTGCTGGAAGTTGGGGAAGTTGCCCAGGAAGGGTGTGTGGGTTGAAAGCAGCCACATAAGTGGCAGAAAAAGAAGGGAACGTGAAAGAAGAAGAAACAGCAGGTGAGGGGCCACAGTAGTGCCAGCTGACTTCCTGGGTATGAGGGAAGAAGGGGGCAAGGTGCAGGCTGCACAAGCAACCACGGAAAAAGAGAAATCTTTGATTTTAGTTAGTGTGACACATGGGCTGAAAGGCTTCACTTCGTTAGACCACACTGGAGAGCAGAGAGGGAGTCTGTTGGCACTTGATAAATGTTATAATCTGCATGACTGCAGATGACTCAAACTTTGTTCAAATTTTGAAAGGCTAGGGGGCCCTGGCAGATTTCCATTTTGATATTTTTCTGGAAATTGACTATTAGCAGCTGCAGGAGCCCCAGGGTAACTGGGTGTCTTGGTCCTTCCCTTGAAGTGAATGAGCCTCAGGCCGTAGGCAGGACTCTAGAGCTCCGCCCCCAGCCGCTCCCCTGCTGCCTGAGCCTTATTCCTGCCTGCTCACTAGGTAAGCAGACAGGAGGAGTGTGGACACTGAATGGTGAGTGCTTTGTTCCCAGGTTTGAACTGCCCAAAACTGGGGATAAGGGACCATGTGTGGGGAGGGAAGATACCTGTGGAGCTCTGGGCTGTAGGGAGAAAACACTCTATAAATTGAAATGGGGAGGAGAGGGTAGAATTACGAAGAACCAAGAATATGAAGACTTGGTTCTTATCTTAGAGAGAGACTCATCTCTATTTTTGCCCAGAAGCCCCATCTTTTTTTTGCAGATGGGATAGCTGTAATTCAGGGCTCAGGATCAGTTCTTGCTGTGCAGCAAGTTGTAGTGGTATATTCTTTTATACATGCCTCATGGAAATTGCTTTGTAGTTCACAGGGCCTTGGCTGAGGGGCTCCACCTACATAATTTCTAGGTGTCCAAAGTAAATTTTCAATCCTTTCTACTGGCAGAAGAGGCGCTGTTAGAGGCCCCCTGCGAGCATCTGTTCATGGTGAGGCACACTGTCACCTCTAGTGCTAATGGAGCTCTTGCATATTAGTGCTGCAGGGCCTGAGGACGAGGGCCTGAGGACGAGGTCCACACCCGGCTCACACTTTCTGGATCACAGCCAGAGGTGGAGGAGCGATGCTAAACATTGCCCCTGGTGGTTTTGGAATCACTCTTACACTTTTACCTCTTGAATTTCAAGTAGGGCCTTTGGGACATTGAAGTTTGCGTTCTCAGAGTACGTTCAGCACTGACATCCACCCACAGCCAGCCTGCTGCTTCCCAAGTTTGTTCAGCCCAGGCCTGACCTAGCTCTTCCATCCTGCGCTCTGGGGCCTAAATCAGCTCCAAAGATACTTCCTTCTGGGTGCTTCTATGAGTGCTAGAGCAGATGTAACTAACTCTCAGCCCTTCACTGCCATAGTCCCATGTTCATACCTTTCCCAAGCTGCCTTGCCTTTCCTCTTGAATTTCTGTTATCCTTGCACTAGGTTTATATCTCCTTGAGGATTGTGTATCATTTATTTTTATATCCAACTAAATTGCCATTTATTTGACAGATCTGTGTTGAATAGATATTTGGAAATAAATATTGAGTGGTTGAGTCTGATTCCCTTCTACTCTTGAGCAAACAGGCTAAATGATTGTCAATGGAGCCTTTTTGCCTCTAAGAATAGCTGTGGTGTGTGGGAAGGATGTGGAGCTGACTTTAAGGGTCGTTGGACTTCCTGAAGTATGCTGATGTGTTCCAGGAGTTGAAGCAATTCCTTTTGTAGTGTAGATGTAAGCGGGCCTTTGAGTACTGATGTAGAGATGTTATCAGATTTGTGATCAGAGACCATGTCATGTGCTCCTGAATCATACACACATGTCAGAAATCCAGGGATGTTTTAGAAGCGTGTAAAGGTACAGCTGTTGTTCCAGACACTGGTGAATCTCTTGTTTACAAGCAAGCAGGTGAGAGCTGTGGTTTTCCTCCTAATTGTTTTGTGCACCGTAATCCAACCATGTGTAACTTTGCTACGTAAAATAATTGGAAGCCAGCCCATGGGAGATTCTTTCCTGCTTGGCCCAAGGACTTAGGTCTTCCACAAGTTGTTGTCTTCATCATTTACTTCTATTGAATTAATTTCATCACATATTTATGGAGAACCCACTGTATACCAAACAGGTACTGTATTAGGCACAGGAGGTTCAGGGACAAACAGAGGAACAGAGTCAAAGAAGAGAAAACTAGCAGATGGGTCCAAATCTTGTGTCACACACATTAGACAGATCATGGGTGCAGTGCAGGCGTAGTTCCAAGGTAGGGGCAAATAAACACCTCTTGGGCTGGGAGTGGGGATAGGCATAGCATCCAAGAAGACTTCTCGAAGAGGTGTCTGAGTCTTGAAGAATAGACAAACAGGGTAGGACATTCCAGGTAGAGGTGTGGAAATGTGTTCCTGTCTTTGACTGCCAGCATCAGTGCTCCCCCGCAGTGAGCTGAGGAAACAAGTGAGGGCCTTGAGGAGGGCCCAGCTTTCCAAGGCCAGCCTGCCCTAGGAGCCAACCAAGCACAAAAATCCTGAATTCTTTGCTTTAAGACAGTGCTTCTCAGACATTAATGTGCATATGAATCACTTGCCTGATCTGATTAAATTGCGGTTTATGATTCCTTAATTCTGAGGTAAGGCTTGAGATTCTGCGTTTCTACTTGATGTCAATGCTGCCAGTCCATGAGACCACATTTTGAGTGGTGAGGTTATAAGGAACTTCTCCCCCAGCTCGAGTCCCTCACATCAGAGATACTATAGCAGCATCCCCTCCCCCAACACACACACTGGCCTCCCCCTTTCTTCCCCTTCCCTAATATACAGAGATGCCAAATTCTCCTAAATGCTGTTTTCATTTGGTCATTCCCACCGCTACCCAGATGAGCATTGCAGAACTGGGAGGCTATAACCTTGGGCATGGGAGAGGGAACAGCAAGAGAAGCATCTCAGAGGGCTGTCATTTCTCTGTAATCACTCTTGACCCACTGGTGAGCTGCTAGAGGCAAATAGCCTCCTTGTGTCTGTTGCATCCAGCTCTTGTAGTGGCAGGTGCCCAGCAGCCCTTGTCCACTCCCATCTCCGCTGCTCCTCCTCTCCTTGCCTCTGGCCTCCTGGTGGCTGCCCAGCTGGAGCCTTGAACTTTGAGAGATCAAATTCCAGCCGCCTTGTGAGAATAGTAACATTGTCTGCCTTCCTCTCAATCTCCAGAAATGTCTTTCCTCCAGGATCCAAGTTTCTTCACCATGGGGATGTGGTCGATTGGTGCGGGGGCCGTGGGGGCTGCTGCCCTGGCACTGTTGCTGGCCAACACGGACATATTTCTGTCTAAGCCACAGCAAGCAACTCTGGACTACCTGGAAGAAATAGACCTGAAAACACTGGAGAAGGGTAAGCAGTGACGCTTCTGGTCTCAGTACTTTTCCAGGGCACTGGGGCACTGGGATGCAGGCTTATTTATTTATTTTTTCTTTGTAAGATAACTTTTTTTAATTGAAAAAGTAATATAACAACATTAGGAAAATTTAATAATGCTTTTTAAATTACTGATAATTCCATTACCTTAACAGTAATCGTTTTTATTTTTGCATATTTTTACATATTATTATACATTTGTTATCTGAGTGTATGTGATATTTTACAGGTTAGCTTTTTCTTACTAAAATCATTTTTCATTTTCTGTTTCTCTAACTGTAATGATAATTGCTCCATAATATTTAGTAATATTATACCACCGTTTACTGAACCAATCTTTCCAGAGTGTATTCTGAGGAATTTGGTCTTCTAGATCTTCAAAAAATAGGAGCTCCCAAGTCAAACAAGTTTGAGAAACACTGTGTGCCCAATTCCATGTTCCTGATGCTCAGCACAGGGATTTGCTCATTGAAAGGAGGTGTCTGGATTGTTACTGGTACAGGCATGGCCAGCTGTCACCTGCAATGTGGCTGCGACACATGGGGCACCACAAGGTCACACTTTTAGAATGGACCTGCCTGTCTCCCTCTTCTTGGGAGCCCCTTGGAGTTCCCAATGGACAGCTGAGAGCCACACATTTGCATGGAGGAGCTCCATTGCCTTACTGCTCTCGGCGTTGGGTCTGCAGCTCAGGGGGATTTCAGTCATTTTGATAGTGTGAGGATAGTTGGCATGTGAGTTTGGTGAAGGTTGGGGCTCACTGGGTGGTCTCCAGTTAGGCCCCTCAAAGGGAGGCTGTGGTCATCTGTTCAGTAACTGAGGAAGTTTATCAACAGAAGGCAGAGACTGTAACTGATTTATGATGTAGGTCACTTTTCTAAGGGACTAAGAAGCCCTGCAGAGAGAGAGCTGTTGTGCTTTGTTTAACCCAGAATTCCCAGTCTCACCCCACCCCCCTCCCCCACCCCCATTTTTAATATAACATCCCACAGGGACATGGAGTCCTCTGAAAAATGTTAAAATAATAAGGGTTCATACTTACTGACCCCTCACTAACTCTGTATTATCAGACATTGTGGTGAGCACTTACATATCCATCTGTTAATACTCCCTGCAGTTCAGTGCTAAGCATCTGCATTTACAAATGAAGAAACTGAGGTTCAGGGGGTAGACACAACATGTCCAAGGTCACACAGCTAGATGCAGACTCACTCTGACCTGGGAACTGGGCTTGATTGCAGTGCAACCCAAACATTTCCTCATTAGGTGTCTTCCCCCCTCCCCTGTGGATAATGCTGTAGTTAACACACTTAGGGTAAGTTTTTTTATTTTTTACTGTTGACTTAATCCCTTCAGATACTTTTTTTAAGAGTTGGAGTTTTCTTAGCTGCATTTTTGCAGAAATGTTTTAGTTTGAACACTGTTCAAGTTTACAAATAGATTTTACGGAGGAGAGGCATTTTGGGTATATAACAGGATCCCGACACTGTATTGATTTTCCTCAGAGGGTGACACTTTCCTGTCTGTGTTTCCTGTGTGCTTTTTCCACTTATGAAATGCCTGTCCAGGCCCTCTGGTAGGCCTGGTACCATCTATGAACTGCTGAGTAGTCAGGAAGGCTGAGGGCAGGGCAGAGATGGGCAGAGATGATACTGAATTCCTTTCTTTCCTACCCAGAGCCAAGGACTTTCAAAGCAAAGGAGCTCTGGGAAAAGAATGGAGCTGTGATTATGGCTGTGCGAAGGCCAGGCTGTTTTCTCTGTCGAGAGGTGAGTACATTTGAAGATTTGGTCAGAGAAAAGTATCCTAACAAGTGGGGAGCCAGTGCATTTCCAGCCTGGATCAAGGTCCTATAGGCCCACTCTAGCCTTTGATCAACACTGGTCCATTTTTTTGTTATTTGCTCTAGGTATTTCTTTGACTTATTCTATTTCTGTTCATTTAATAACTCACCATATCCTGGGGTTAGCAACATACTTGACTTTCCTTTGTTGTTCTCAGACCCTTTCACTCTTGTATTATTTGTGTCCTGGACTGTCTTCCTATTGAATCAAGGACAGAGACCAGATCTAATTCCGTGTTCCTGATGCTCAGCACAAGGATTTGCTCATGGAAAGGATATGTCTGGGTTGTTACTGGTTCAGGCATGGCCAGCCCCCACCAGTGGTATGGCGGCAGCACATGAGGGACCACAAGGTCGCACTTGTAGAACGGACCTGCCTCTCTCCCTGTTCTTGGGGAAGCGCCTAGCGTTGCTGGTGGACAGCTGAGAGCCACACATTTGCATGGGGGTTCTCCAGTCTCCATTGCCTCACTGTGCTCATGGTATTGAATCCGTGGCTTGAAGAGATTTCAGGCATGCCAATAGTGTGGGTACACTTAGCATGTGTGTTTGGTGAAAGTTGGGGCCCAGTGACTGGGACGTCTCCAGGTTGGTGCCTCAGAGGGAGGCCATCATCTTCTGCTTAGTAATGGAGGAAGTTGTCAGGGGAAGGCAAGGTCCAGCCTTGTCGCTTTACAGATAGGTAAACTGAGGGCCAGAGTGGTTTGGTCACACAAGTCAGTAGGTGGCAGGTTCTGAGAACACTGCCCTGCCTCAGGGAGAGCAGGGAATAACAGTCCTCCTCTTGAGACAACTGTGCTTCTCTAGTAGTGACCTTGGCCTCATACAAGTTGTCATCCTCATCCCTCTTGTTCTTCCTGACCCTGAAGAATTTCCTTTCAGCCTTGCAGAACTCTCCCCTGCTTGTGTGGTTGTGCTGGCAAAGAAGCTACTTACATGAAATGATGCCCTGCTATACCTTGCATTCAGGGCACTTTCATGCCTGTTACTGCATTCGTTCCTCACTGTATCCCTGGAAAATACAGCTTGTTGTTATTCAAGTTTTATAGAGGAGGAAACTGAGGTGCAGAGGTTGTGGCAAAGTCAGACTGCGGTAAGGAGGTATATTAATTTCCTATTGCTGCTGTCACAAATTATCACAAACTCGGTGGCTTTAAACAATATAAATTTATTATCTTACAGTTCTAGAGGTCATAAATCAGAAATGAGTCTCATTGAGCATTTCTCCTGGAGGGTGTAGGAGACAAACGGTTTCCTTGCTTCTTGCAGCAAACAGGGGCATGTGCAGGCCTTGGCTTGAGGCCCCTTACACCGTGTGTAAAGCCAGCAATGGGTGGTCAAGTCTTTCTCACATTGTAGGACCATGACACTGACTTCCCACTTTCCTCTTCCACATTTAAGGATCCTTGTGTTTCCACATGGGAACCACCTAGATAATAGAGGACAATTTCCTTTAAGATCAGCTGACTGGCAACCTAAATTCCACCTGCTGCCTTAATTCCCCCTTGCCTTGCAACAACACATATTCACAGGTTTCTGGGATCAGGATATGGACCTCCTCAGAGAGTGTTGTTCTGCCTGCCATAGTTTAAGGTCAGAGCTTTTGATTCCACGTCTGTGATAACTCTTAATACCAACATGAAAGCCTGTTGTGACTTGATTTCTCAAGGCCAGTTAAACCCAAAAGGTTCTAAGAGCAACTGCTCTGTCTAATTACAACCTATGTGTGCTCTGGCCTCTGCCCTGGCAGAGCATTTTGTAGAAACTTACGTTTCTAAGAGCATGGTCAGATGGCAGTCTGAGCTATTTTGAGGGGCCTGTGGAGGACGCACGTGACTGTCCACTTCTTGGCTTTGTACAGTGACACACTCAGAGTAAAGAGCCCAGAAAGAGTGAGTAAAACCTTCATTTCACACACAGGTGGTCTTTGACCATAGCAGGCCTGTAGCCCTCTCTTCTCAAGAGCCAAGCTTGCCACTCACTAAAGGTCTTGATGAAAGCATTATAATGAATCCTGCTTTGTTAGCGATCCCTTTTTGTTTTGTTCTAGAAAATAAATAAAAACTAATGTAGTTGCCACTGTACAATAATGCATTTGTATTGAAGGTAAGTGGGCTGCATTAGAAAGAATTTCCTGCTATTTTTTAATTCTGGCACCAAATGTAAAAAACGGAATTTGTTCTTAACTTCGAAGCCTCACTATGCACAGGCAGTTTCACTTAGTCATCCAGCATGCAGTTCATGAGTGTCCAGGATGTCTGTACTTCTTGGCTCAGCTGCATTCTCCTTATTGTCCACCTCCACCTTCAAATCTTCCCCCCTGGTATCTAGTGCCTTCTATATATTCAGCTATGTGCTTGGCACTAAGGGATGAAAGAAATGGGAGGTATAGTTTCTAACTAGGAGACACACTTGGGAACTTAAGAGACAGTGTTCGATAATGATAACACACAGACTTGGTACAGAAGAAGTCACCGAGCAGGAAAGATTGGCTATGCACAGAGAATCAGGGCTTCGCTATAGGCTGGACTAACCAAGGAGGACATTTTAGAATAAAGGTCCCTTTCTGGAGGGTAGGGTTTGAGCTGCAGAAAGGTTATTGCAGTGAGGGACTAGTTACAGGGGTGTCCCACCTGCAGCCCAACACAAAATTGTAAATTTACTTGAAACTTTTTTTTTTTTGCTCATCAGTTTTCGGTAGTGTTTGTGTATTTGATGTGTGGCCCAAGAAAACTCTTCTTCCAGTGTCCCAGAGATGCCAAAAGGTTGGATTCCTGGTAGAAGAAGGGTTAGGAGAGAAGCATCAGAGCTAGGAATAGGGCACCGTGTTTGGGATGCTCCCTGGACAATGGTTACAACACACGTAACAGGAGCCTAACCTCCCCTTCCTACCAGGGAGAACCACGGGAAGTCTATGCCGAGGATGGGACCTGACACCCTGCTGAGGCCTAGTGACCAGCTGGGACAGTGTTAGGCTGGGCTACAGAACAGAGGCCTTAATTATTTCTGGCATTTTGTTGTCTTTGTTCTTCTATATTCAGTGCCAGCCATGCTCTGGGCCTGTAGGGCAGAGGATGTTGGTTGCCACGGAGCCACAGGCAGATGTGCCCGTGACCTTCCCTCTTTCCTGCAGGAGGCTGCAGAGCTGTCCTCCCTGAAGCCCAAGTTGGATGAGCTGGGTGTCCCTCTCTATGCAGTGGTGAAGGAGCAGATCAAGACTGAAGTGAAGGACTTCCAGCCTTATTTCAAAGGAGAAATCTTCCTGGATGAAAAGGTACATGGGCTGTGAGCCTGTCAGACACAGACTGGTGGGGCTTGTGCTCAGGCGTAGGGTGTGTCTGACCTGGAACTGGAAGCTGGGGAGGGCATCCCTTCAGCTGCCCTGAACTTGCAGGGGCCTTCCCGGCCCTCTGAGCGTAGCCTGATTAGACACTGAAAAGCTGTGCTCTCAAGTGTTAATTGAGCCCTTCCTGAATTGTCACTTGGGAATGGGAGCCTAGGAAGTAGCTGAAACTACATTGGATTTTCCCTACCATGTAGGCAGCGGCCCAGCACAAGCCCCTGCCTGTTAATGTATTGCAGTCATACTCTCCCTCTTTTCCCCCTACTCTCACCTGTGCAGAATGCAAGACTGTAATCGCCCTGTCAGGCATGGAAACCCTGTATGTCTCTAGCAGTAGGTTGGCGTCAGAGCCGAAAGCTGCCCAGGTCAGACCTGCATTGAGGTTGGCAGCTGTTTCCCTGGGTGGCTGAGAGTGTCTGTGGATGGGGGCAGTGTGTTTTGTGGGAAGGACGTGAACCAGTAGGCTTTGAGTCTTTGTCTGAAAATCAGTGCCCTGTAGGGAACCTTTCCTCCCTGGGGAAGGCAGGCACACAGGCTGTTCATGGGGTCTGTCCTCCTTGCTGCTACAGAAGATGTTCTACGGCCCCCAAAGGCGGAAGATGATGTTCATGGGATTTGTCCGGCTCGGTGTCTGGAACAACTTCTTCCGGGCCCGGAATGGGGGCTTCTCTGGAAACCTGGAAGGCGAAGGATTCATCCTCGGGGGAGTTTTTGTAGTGGGATCAGGGAAGCAGGTAAATTCCTAGTGTTCATGTGTGGGTCTGTGGATGTCGGTGTCTGTGAGCATGAGACCCCTATAGGGGGTGACTGAGTCTCCCAGACTTCTGTCCAGAAAGCCAGGGAACATGAGGAAGGAAAAGGAGAGAAGTTGCCATTTATCACACATCTCTTCACTCTTCACAATAGCATCATGAAGTTGTCACAGTTTTACAGGTGAGGTGAGTGCTGCACCCAGGAGCACAACTCATTGGTGCCACTGCAGGGGCCAGAACCCAGGTGTTCTGTCAAGGTGATGTCAAGTTCTGTTCTCTATGCTTGAACAAAAGCATGGGTCTTTTTCTGTCAAGAACATACTTCTTTGCAGTGTTCCCAGGTCATCCAGGATGGACAGCAGAGAAAAGTGAAGGGGAAAGAAGGATTCAAAACAGGCCAAATTAGGGAAAGTAGCAAAGAGATGTGGGGCGACAGATCTTTTTGCTGTGGAGGTCCTGGTGTCAGAGCCGCCCCTAGAAGGGTAACAGATTTCTCATCACATGGGCTATCTTGGGTCCTGGCTATGAGCATCCAGACTAACTTGGGCCCTTGGGGAAGGTATAGGGAGATGAGGACTGTGGGCCCAGGGGGCAGGTAGGTGGATGCTCCATGTCAGACCATGGGCAGCCACGAGCCTTGGGGATTCCCCTGCACTGGAGGGCAGTGCCCGCAGAGGCCAGGAGGATGCAGAGCTGGGATGGGGTAAAGCAGATGCAGGCTTGAGAACCTGGCAAGAGGACCTCATCTGTAAAAAGACAGGGTTGTCTGCATTGGTGGATCTCACTGCTAACATTGACTATTACATAGTACTTTTCCTAATTTGTGAGGGGCAAAAAGCTAATGAGAATAGAAATCCTTCCATTTTAAGCTTTATTTCTAATCTCTTCCTTTAAAGCTTAGTAACTGCTATTACTGGTATATATTAGAATCTAGCATGAATTGGTGTCTGAATGAACACAAACCTACTTGCTGACTTTCTGCTAAATATCAAAATGTCGTGGTGGTAGTGTCTGCCAGTGAGGGCCTGCCTTCTCTCATTGTTCATATACATAATCTCATGTCGTCTTCACAACCAGTCTGGGATATTAGGTATTTTTATTCCCATCCACATATAAGGAAATGGGCCTAGAGATATGAAAAACAGGCAAAAATACACACCTAGTAAGTGGAAATAAAACTCAGGAAGTCAGCTCTGCCCTGCTCTAGAAACCCTGCCCTTCCCTCACCCATAGCCTCTCTTTAGGAATGGTTCCCAGAGACCCCTTCCAGATGCCCTTGCACTTGGGCAGGCCACTTGCCCAGAGGATCACTCAGCCTCTTCCCAGTCTGGCACTGTGGGGTTCCTTCCCCCTCCCTATCTCTGCCTTCCCTCAGCCTCCAGGGCAGGGCTTGGCTTCCCTGCCAGCCTACTCTTGCCTGGCAGTGACTCATCTGGTGCTCACGGGCTCCCCAAGTCTGGCTGGCATGCCCTGGTGTTGCTAGGTGGGGTGTTTGGCTTTGTTGGTGCTCCCTGGAGCCTCCTGCCTTCTTCCTCCTGGAAGGCTGACTGGCTGGCAGAGCTTCAGGACTGGCCTCCATCTTTCTTTGGAGAAGTTTTTGCAGTCTCACTGTGCCAGGTGCCACACACTGGGGATTTCCTTTGTAATAATCTTTAAACATAATTACTTTAATGAAGTAACATGTTTCCACATTAAAAAAAAAAAAATTGAAAACCAAGCAGTAGAAGATAGGGAGAGCCATTCTATAATCTCAGCCATCATGGACAACCTGTTAGAACAGAGCTAAGCTGAGAGGCCTTTTGTTTGTTTTTAAAACACAGTATCTTACTAAGTTAGATTTATTTCTCATTTAACAGTATATCATGAACACATGTCATTTATATTCTTCCTTAGTATTTTCAATGTCTGCTTACGGCTTCACTGGGCAAGTAAATTCAGTTTCCTGATCAGCTTCCCTGTAGTCAACACAGTGTGGTGGAACTTTTTGTTTTCTTTAAAGTATTTATAAATAATGGCACCATGACAGCTTTTTATTTTTTTAATTTGAGTTCCCAGCTGTCATGGGCCAAAGAACACTTTCACAAGGATTTCTTGATCCTGATCACAAACACATTATTTTATCATTCTTACCACTTCAGGGTGCTTTGGGGTATCCTGTGTCTTAGGGCATTTTTTTATCACAGTATCAGAGGTGAGGGGCTCCCAGTTCCTTAAGAAAACTTAAGAGACGATCTATCTTTTCAAATGATCATTCAACACCTGCCAAGAGCTGACCTCTGAGCTCCACATTCACACCTTCACACTTACTCAGTTCTCTTCACCCAGAAATCTCTCTTACCTCACCTCTACTTGTAGACATCCTGGTTACCTCTCCTGCTTTATCTGTGAAGCCTTCCTCGATCACCAGGTGAAATTTGATCACTCCTGACTTCCTGCTCCCAAAGTGCTGCTTGTACAGTCCAAAGATTGTGATGTAGCTGTCCCCAATCTCCCTTCCCCCAAAGACTAAACTCTTCAAGGGAAGTGCCAGACCCAATTCTGGTCTCTGTCCCCTGACTAAATGACTCAGAATGAGGATTGATGTTCCCTCCACTTTCCTTTTAGGGCATTCTTCTTGAGCACCGGGAAAAAGAATTTGGAGATAAAGTAAACCCATTTTCTGTTCTGGAAGCTGCTAAGAAGATCAAACCACAAACTTCAGCCTCAGAGAACAAATGATTGTCTGAAACTGCCCAGCTCAGGGATACCTAGGGACACTAACCTATGTTCATAAGATGTTTGAACTCATGTCTCTAACGGGTTAGAAACCCACTTATGCCACATTTTCAGTATAGATCATTAATGTATTTTAATACTGTACTATGTTTAGGCTCAATAAGATAAAGATGCCCCCAAATAAGACTGATAAAAATCTAAGAAAGGAGCGAGGGATATTACTGCTAAACCTGGAAAATATGAGGCTTAAAGTTGACTGGTGTACCTCACTAGAAATGTATATGATGTTTGAGGTGCTGTTATTTGAAATAAGGTTTATTTTCCTGCCTTTAAAAATCTAAGAAAAGTTGACTAGAAAATTAAGGATATAAGGTTTTTCGCCTGTGTATTTTCTATTCATTACTATATAATGTTAAAGTAATATTTACATAAAGTAATTGATGTGCTTTGATGTGCTCTGGATGGCTTGATAAAATTATATCTTTTTTTTTCATTCTAACACTAGAGGTTTGTTTTTCGGGAAGAAGTTATTTCTGGCTCTAATAAAATTATGTATCAGAAATTGCCTATAATACAAGTTTTTCTGATAAAGCTAATAATAAAAATATTTACCAAGATGATGGTTGTGTTTAAATCACCCATGTCAAAGACACTGAACGTGAAAAATCAGTGTTCTGCATGTGTATGGGGTAAGGTGGCTGGCTGAGGACTAAGATGGTGACCAGGTCTGACTTCTAGTGTGCACAGGCCTGTAAAGGGCTGAGCTTCTGCGGACTTGAGAGAATACTGTTCTGCACTTGAACTGGGTCAACACAGTGTCTGATCCCTGGGACTCCAGCTACTGATAGGATAACTCAGATGAGAATTCTTTGGTGTCTGGAAGACACTTGATCCTGAAATGGCTCTCTTGCAACTAAAGAAGAGTAGCTCCTATATGGCCATTACAGCAATGGGTGCATAAAGAGAAACCTTATTATGATTTCCTTCACCAACTGTTTTACTCCTGATTACTATGGCATTAGGGAAAACCACACTGAGTCATGAGATGAGTTTAAGTTCTAGTTTAACTGTGTGATTTCAAGCCAAGCTCTGGCCCTCAGCTCTCTCACTGGTAAAGTGAGCATTATAATTCCTGTCTTCATTCAGGTCTATTTATTAGAAGTCATTGAGGGAAAGATAAATATTATAAAACAGTGCTTCTCAGACTTTAATGTACATGCAGATAACCTAAGGATCTTGTTAAAATGGAGACTGTTAAAGGAAAACTAACGCAGACACTAGTTAAAGGCATTAAAGACAGATTTTATTCAGTAATGAGCACAGTAGATGAGAGACCTCAATATAAAACTGAGCTCTGTGCAGAAGTGACTAGAATTTTAAAGGGAGAATGAAGGAGTAGGGAGGGCGAGCACACGGGCTTGAACAGAGTCAAGGTGGTGGAAAATTACAAAAAGTGGGTTGGAGATACTGGTCAATGTGATGAGGCTGGCTGTGTCTGCTAACTGTCCAGCTTATCACATTAGACTCCTGCCCTCCCACAAGAGACTGGGAGAAGGAGCTTTATCTGTCCTGGTGATTACGTTTCAAAGGGAGGGCCCCCACATCCTTGAGAAAGAAAGACACTGGGTTTCAGGAGATACAAACTTAGACATCTTCAAGAGACAGAGAAAGAATTTACAGTTGTAAGGTTTTTGTTTGTTTTTAAGTGACTGCTTTAAGAAAAGGAAGGTCAGGGACCTACAGTCAGGTGTTTGGCTTGAATCAACTAAATTCTTTTGCTATCCTTGAGCTTTCCCATGCCTGGGACTCAAGGGGAACAGCCTTGAGCTTCTAGGAACTATCCTAGCATTTGTTCAAGTCTTTTAGTGTAGGAGGTAGACAAAATCATTTGTGTTGAAACTTGCACAGCTCTCAAGACTGCAGTGTCTGCATTTCTAACAAGCTCCAGAGGACAGTCTACTGGTCTAAGGCCCACACTTTGAGAAGCAAGAATTTCAGTGACCTTGCAAATCAAAGACATTAATATCTGTGGGCTTTGGGCTTAAAGCTTCAACAAATCTCTGACAAGTATTAGCATATTCCCTTTTCTTTATCTGATAAATTGAAAACCCACAATAGTGCAAAACTGCTGGGGGAATGCAAGAAAGAGCCCCTGATGAAAAGCTGAAATTTCCCAATTTGAATACACAGAGAAAACACCTGGGGATGTTAAAAAAAATTCTGATGCCCAGGCTACACCCACAAGCCCATTCAATCAGAATCTCTGCAAAGAGACCCAGGCAACAATGTTTCTTAAAGCTCTGGGGTCATTCCAACATGCAGCCAAGGTTGGGAACCATCCTAAAAGAACTCGGTGTCAAGTTTGGAATGCCAGAGTTCACACCTTAACTTACTCAGAACCAGGCTGCTCCCAAAATCTCTGATGAGTTTTGGAAAAAGTCTTTAGGTGGCAAAGGTCAGGGATGGTATAGACATAGATGTGGAAGGATCCCGGTCTGAAATTGAACCTTCAAAATAGAGAATATTTGGATAGGTGGAGAGGGTAAAGATGTCATTTCATGTAGAATCAAGACCCTGAACCAAGATAATGGCTAGAGGGAAAGTAAATAGTAGGTACAGAAGAACAAGGATGAGTCTAGTCTGTTCCGTTTACTTGATTGGATGTCCTGTTTCCCAATACACTGAGTACTCAAAAGCAGTCCCTTTTTCACATCCATGGCTATTTTAAAAATAAAACAAAACACTGAGGGAAAAGAAGCAGTGCGTATGGTACTTTATCTCTCTTTTGCCAGGGTCAGGCATGCCACTGGGGTGGGGTAAGGAAGGTGAGCTAGCTGTGGGGAAGGGGCTTTAGGAGGTTGTGAGCATAGAGGGTAGATGAAATCAGAGGGTCCAGACTGAATACTTCTTAGCCCTGGCTACCTTCCCTCCATTCTCAGTTACTAATGTCCCATGGGACAAGTAGGCAGGTATTGTGAATTTATGTTTGGTAGGGAAGGGAAAGGAAAAGTCCTGCTTTAACCCCTCAAATCCTTCCTAGGTTTAAAGGGGAAGAGTTTGTTTTGTTTTGCATTTGTTCATTTATTAAACAATTACCATAAAGAATGATAGAGTAGGGGATCCCTAGATTAGGGGAGTGATTCTTTCAAGGACCTGTTCCTTCCCAGGTATATCTGTGGTAGACAGTTAGACATAAGCAGAGCAAGGATGATGGGCCAGGTACAGAAGGTCAGCAAGGCAGAAAGCCTCGGGTGCCTATCAATGGGAAGAACTGGAAAAACAAAGACCGCATGCCAGGGTAACATTTCCTCCCCTAGCATGTCACTGGTCATGTGGTTTGAACCCCATGACTTCTCATATCACTGGTCATGCAGTTTAAACCTCCTGACTTTTCCTCACTAAAGGTAACACCTAGGCCTCAGTTATTTCAGCCTTGGGCCCAAAAAAGCAGCAAAACCAGATAAATGATGCCAGGGCTGACATCAGGACCAGCTGCACTGACTAATGACCCCTGGCCCTGGTGCCAACCAATCATTGGAGACCACAACTCTGAAAGGACACACCTGAAAAGCTGATAAATATTCTACTGAGATGGTCCTGAGGTCTCCCCTAAGATTCCCACCTGCAAGAAAAAAATAAAACCCCTCAAGACAAAGGACCCAGTGCGCGCTCTCCCTCTGGGGAGCATGCCTGTGCCTTTCCCTTCCTCCTCTTCTTCTTCCACAGACACGTATCTCCTAAACTCTAAGCCGCAGAGGTGTCCAACCTTTCGGTGTTTCTGGGCCACACTGGAAGAATTGTCTTGGGCCACACATTAAATAGACAAACAAAACCAAACCAAAACTTCAAACCAAAAACTTATGAGCAAAAAAAAAAAAAAGGTTTGAATTTACGATTTTGTGTTGGGCCGCATTCATAGCCAACCTGGGCCACGTGCAGCCCAGGTTGGATACCCCTGCAAGGGACCCCCACAAAACTTGCAACCAGTGGAGCAGTGAGCAGCGACAGCTCATCCTGAGCCTACCCCCTGAACCTGTCTCCAAAGCCCCCTTTTCTCTGACTTCCCAGTGAGCTAAAGCAGCCCAGCCTAGGCTCTCCTGTTGCTTCTTCTGTGCTAAGCCGTTCCTTATTGCACCATCCTGAGTAGGCTTGTGCTGCGGCCAATAAATTCCTACTTTACCGTACTTTCTCTGTTGGCAAAAATTTTTCCTTAAAAAAGACAAAAACTGAGGTCTCATCATCTCACCAATAATAGAGCTGGTCACTTTTCTGTGTTACGTAATAAAGGTCTGGGCCAACCCAACGAACTAATTAAGAGTAGGAGCCAGTTTTTCCTAAAATTCAATATAAGGACAGGAAGTGAAATAGACAGGTTGGTCAGGGAGGGCCTCTTTCATAAAATAGCATTTGGGCAGAGACCTGGAAGAAAGTAGACCTTATGAATATTGGAGGAATAACATTCCAAGCAGAGGGAACAGCAAGTACAAAGGCCCAAGGTGGGGATGGGCTTGTTATATTCAAAGAACATTATGAAAGGAAGTGTAGCTAAGGCAACATGAGTGAGGGGCAGAGATAGGAAGTAAGATGGGAAGGTGGTGAGACAGTAGAGATGCACACCATGTAGTTCAGGCAGGCCATGGAAAGAACTAGAATTTTACTAAGAGATGGGAATCCACTGGAGAATTTGGAGAAGAAGAATGGCATGATTTGATATTCATTATTCTAACTGCTTTAAGATAATAGATTGTAGAGGATCAAAGGTTCCACCAGGGAGACCACTTAGGATGCTATTGCAATAATCCAGGCAAGAGTCAATGGTAGGTAGAACCAGGTGGTAGCAGTGGAGATGATGAGAAAGTGTCAGATGCTGGGTATATTTGAAGGAAGAGCTAAGAGGATTTCCTGAACGATTAAATGTGAGATGTCAGAGAGAGGAGTCAAGGAAGACTGCAAGATTTTTGTCCTCAACAACTAGCTGCACGTGTATTTTGCAGTAAAGGGGAGCAGAAAATGATGGGGTAAAAGGAAGGTTTTAATGTGCTACAACAGTTGCAATGAGTATACTGGAGGTGTAAGCATCAGTTCAGGGTGAATCAAAACAATGCCAGGGAAAAAGAATAAGCTTAGGTATGGTAAACTCAGTGGGATAAAATTTGCATAAAATTTTAAGGCATGAAAAACAGTATTGTTTAGAGCTCCATACATACATGGTAAGGTATAAAAACACATATGGAATGATAAACAATGTGCAGCCAGGGTTGAGCACCATCTGCTTGCTTCACACCTTTAAAAACCCTATTTCCAAGGCAAGATCCTAGTCCAGTTAAATCAATCTCTGGGGATGGATCCAAGTATCAGTATTTTTTTCAAAGTTCCCTAGGACATTGTAGTGTGGAGGCAGGGTGAAAAAATCATTGCCTTGGATTGAGAAACAACTGTAAAATCTCAGAGAAGCACAAGGAAATTTCCCTGTTTATATTTAAGGCTTGGGCAGAGTATCTATTTTGTAGTTAGGCAAGAGACACCCATACCCTGATTTTCATGTTTCAGCAAAGAAACATG